ATAATATAGGAAATCATATTATTGTTTAACGCTTTTCAAATGTTACCATGACAATTTTATATCATGTTTTATATGTGTTTGTTTGATCAAATTATAGAATCTATAAAACATATTTTATAAAATATAAAAAGTGTCAACGTTTTTAAAAATATGTTAAGAGTATTTTGTTTTCACTTTTTTCAGTGATAACTGCAGATAACAAATATATTTCACATGTAAAAAAATTTAAGAATGTAATATTCGAAATAAATAATTATTAATGAGAAAAATAAAATATAAATGAAAATTTATACAAAATGTTGACATTAAAAAATATAATAATATTACATTTTACTGCTTAAACGCATAAACTGCAAAATATTTAGTGAAATACACTCAGGATATTTTAAMTAACTGTTATCATTAAATTTAATAATTAATAAATAAGTATCTAAAACTCGATATTTAATTTTTAATCTTCATACTTTTAAATACAAAACACTTAATTCAAATTACTTAATTTCAGATATTTATTAATTATTTCAAATAATTTTCCACTAATGAGAACTAAAAAAAATTAATTTATGTTTCTATTTATATAATATTTAAGTCCTACAAATCCCACGATAAGTCTTTTTTTTTTTTTTCACCTACTGAACTCTTTTGTAAGATTATTCTGAACATCTGAATTCAAACTATTGATTTTTATAATATTTATGGTTTGAATAATATTTCTTTATATTAAAAATTAATTAGATGATGATTATATAAATTTATAAAGTATAGCATAGAATTTGCGTCTAAAGAAATATTATTGAACATTAATTATTTTTTTTTTTTTAAATACTATTCTTTCAATAATTCGTTGTTATTATTAATACTGATTTTAATGTAATTAATTATTTTATAAATCGCTGGTTGAAAAAAATGTAATATTGCTGATTAAATTTACGTGTAATCTTTAAACTAAACTTTTTAGATATAAATTACGTTAAACAGCTATTGATTTTAATTACATAACAAAACTTGTGGGAATATCAATTATAATTTATAAACCATGTCTATTCATTAAATTTTACAATAATTCTCAAAGACACAATTCATAAATAATAATATGTTTTTATAGTTTTTACTTACGTTGTTAAAAATGTTTTCCTTTAAGTAAGAACAACAAAATATGTTTTATTCAAAAAATAGAGACCGATATATATCGATGGCTATGGTATATCATAGATAGAAGAGCATAAAAACATTTTTATTTTTTTGTAAAATTGAATTTTTGATGTAGAGTGCAAGGGATAGCAGTTCTTAGTCAGTTATTGATGGAAACATATTTCAAACTTTAAAAAAATTATTTATATTGAAAGTATATGTGATTTGGTAGTTTACGTTTTTCACATGATGAATTTATTACACTAAAAGTAATAACGGGAATTTATTTTAAGTATGTTAACATCCGATCATAAAATATATTTCTGTAAGTTCAAATACTACTATTTAGTATTTTTTCGGTTATATATTTAATAAATAGTTACTAAAAATCTTAATAAAATTCATATTGTTGCAAAATATTGATGCATAATTAGGTGATTTTGAGTAGATTTATTGTTCCTTATTTAAACTTGACACAATAATAGTATCACAATTTCATTATCGATGTTGAATGATGCTCTGAATTTAAGTCCTAATATTATTTTATTTTTATCATCGAGATCAAACATTTTTATTAAACTAAGTTTTAAAACTAGGTATATTATGGGTTTTATTTTCAAAAACAGTATCTAAGGTAACAAAATTCACTGTAATTATTGGTAAGTACAATTATACCGAATGAAAATATAAAACACGTACCTAATGTTCTTATTAAATATTAATAAAATTATTAAATACTGTATAAAATAATATTATGTAAAATAGCAACGAATGCTTTACAGATATCTGATACATACACTCTCTGCTATAGTCTGTATCTTGTAGTATTTAATGATATTGCAAATTGAATGTGAAATAGGACATAATATCTAATATCATATTAAATGCTAATGCAAAATAATTTCAAGGCACAAACTAGAGAGGACGTATTGTTATTATGTATTGTTATTGCCTATGTTGTGCCCCGAAAATGAGGGTATAACTGTGGCCTTCGTATTAAATTGTAGTCCTATACAACTGCTCGAGTACCTAATCTATTCCAACAGTAAAGTACTTTCCGAGTGAAATTAATTAAATCTAGCTTTTCTTATAAGTTAATTTTATAAGTGGATAATATTTTACGATGTACATTATGCTATACACACTAAGTATACTAAAGATAATATAATATCATGATAATATTCTCGATGACATTCATATATATTTTAATTAAATACCAAGTTTTATTTGATTAGTAAAAATGAGAAATTCAAAAATGTATTAAAAATAATAAATTATTTTAAAAATCAATGTAGCATTGTATTCGAATTTAATTTTCCAATGTTTTTTTAACTTTTTTTAATCAATACAAGACTATAATGTATATACATAAAAGTTACTATGGCGTCTTTTGCAACTTATTATTTCAAAACTTCAGACTAGTTATGAGATCGAAATGTATTATACAACATTTAAAACAATCAAAAATTATAAGTCATTCTTTAATTCTTGAGATATATTTTATACAAAAAGTACCTTTGCTTCAATTGATATTTATTAAAATTATAATAGAAATATTTTGTGTATAAATTAATTGTATCAAATTAGTTTACGTAAGTTAAGGTTTGGCAAAAAATAAATAAATCTGAGCCAATTTGCCATATAGTACATTTTGAATATAGATTTACCTCACATTGAGTTCCTAGGTCACTGTCATGGGTAAGCTAAATTTGAATTAATTTTTGATGCATATAAAAACAAGAAAAACAACAAATCAGACACAGTTTCTCAAGATAATTGATATATATTTACTATTTTTTTAATGAAAACATTATTAATATAATTATAATATATTATTCTATTACTTATTAGTATTACACATAATACGAAAAATGTAAATTTTTTTGCAGAAAACTTTGAATATTATGTTAAATTATTATTTATTATTATAATATTATTATGATATAGGTGTTATATGTTATTGATTTATTAGTTTATGTCACGTACCATTAAACTTTAAAACACTTTCATTATTTCAAAAACAGTTATTTTCAATAAAGCAAGGATAAATCAAATATATAGTATTAGGTACCCTATAAAAATGAGTATACAAATAAATAATAATTAACTCTAAGTATGAATACAATGATTGCAATGATTGTGTAATTGCATTAGATCATTGACGTCACGGTACAAATTAGGTATTTATTAATTATTATTTTTAGATTGACACCATTATTATATAATCATAATCAAAAATATTTCTTAACAGAGCTTCGTTTACGTAAAAATGTTTTTTTAAATACTGGAAGCGTTGAAAAATTACTTGTTCAAACATTATTGAAAACCCAATATCCAATATTATATGGGAACTTAAATAAAATAATTTAATCTCAAATTTAATTTCCCTTTTCACTTTTGAGTAATGAAAATAAATCTAACCAAGCAATTTATTTTGACATTATTCACCATTATATCTTACATTAATTTTATTCCCCATCCCAAATTATGGAAATTCAAATTTTCTCGCAGTACAACGCATGTCAAGAATATAAATGTAATGATGTGGAATATAATATACATGTCATTATTCTGCGGGACATTTATTTTAAGCACTGTAAATACCCGTAGGCCGTTCACAATGTCATAATATTACCTTGTGATATATATCGATGTGATATCATGAGTTATAACGTGGTAAGTATGCGAACATGGTTTTAAAACAAAAATCTGCGATGTGTAAAATTAGGTATTAGTATGAAATTTGAGTTTAGGTGTACGACGACGATGGTGATAGAAGTAAAATAAGAAGAAGAACCCATCTATTCTTCGGCGCACCCGTTCAACTTTACAAAATGCCGTTTGGAATACTAAACGAGCTTTGTGGAGTATAACACCTTAAATTGCATTACGTTAGACAAATAATACACCGGAGTCATCTTGTTAAAGAAACTCTACACTGCAAATCGGATTAAATTTTTCGGTTTATTATATTTTTTCGTTTGTTTATCAAAAGTTTAACGTTTCGAATTGAAAATAAAACATGATACGCTTCTCCAAATGAAAGTATTATGGTCCACGCATAATATTCTGCGATGGTTCGTTGAATGCACGACCGACCTAAGCATACACGGCGCCATATACAAGCTATGGTATTTACTAAGATGTACTCCATAATTATAGTTATCATATCAAATATTTATACTTACCATTAAAATAATTTATAAAAATCAAACAGCACCTAAGTAAAAGTATTCGTGAACCAATTTTTAACGTTTAAAACTACGCTACGGTAGTATACRAGAATTAAAAAAATAAAAATAACTTTTTCACAAAATCTAATTTACAGTAGTTTGTGTGGTATAGCTTAAAAGTTATAATTTCCACGATTAATATAAAACTAGTTGCTAAAACTATAATAGATATTTCAAAACAAATTTTTATCACACGCACAAATTTTTAGATTTTCTCTTATTATATTTTTACTCTCAGCGATAAATCTACAAGCATATCGAGAATAAAGTGCTTTATTCTCGTTTACTTAACTGTAATACCTATATAGCTACTAAAATTCGGAGGTGCTGTTAATTTGGCTGCTTCCTCACTCGATAGTAATCATATTTATCGTAATGTAATAAATGCTAACCGATTACATTTAAATATAATTATAATGTCTTGATTTTAAGCAAATAGGTATTTCAAAACATATAATATACTTATTAAATAATAATATATAAAATCATTGGAAGCCATTTTATTGACTTGCCCTAAAGTTCAAAATGTAACTCGTTATGTACCAATGTCATAATGTTTGATATGATGATGATGTGTGTTTTATTCGTACGCAATATAATTATATTAATTTTTATCATAAAATGATATATTCTTACTTCCTAGTTCCTGTGACTTCTACGACTTTACATTTGCTACGGTTCCACCAAGTTGGCGTAAGGGTCCAATAACTCGAAACTGCACTTCTTGCCCATCCTTCTTCTGGATAAAGAAGAACCTATACAATTAAAAACAATAATTAGTAAAATATATATATATATATATTATAGGAATAAGTTGTGATTTCAACTGTAGTGATGACTGTGATGTATGTTTAAAAGTATTTCTTGGAAAATAGAAAATGTTTAACTCCACAAGTCATATACGACATTTCTTGTAAATCTGAGCTCGGATAATACAAATTAATATTCACATTCGTCCATTATAATTTGAAATAATTTTGTTCTATTCTACCGTATATTTTTAAACGTTTATTAATCTGTCAACATTTAGGTTTCATAGTACGAGCAGTTAATTCGACCAATAAACATTTTCATTTCGTATAAAGAAGAATATTATATTCACTATTCAGTGATAATATACAGAGATTATAAATTAAAATAATTATCAGAAGTTTCAATATTTACGTAGTTTGACTAAAGTCTATGTAAAAGATTATAAATTATAATATTTAAGTCTTAAAGCAGAGTTTGAATGTTAATTACTAGCGAAATTTGGGAACCAACAACTTTTTTAGTGTTTTTTAAGTAAAAGTTTCGCCATGTTAAAGAACCTAATATAATATTATATTATTGTATCTTATAAAATAGTGTAAGTACCTACATAAAAAAATTTATTTTAAACAAAGTTATTACAACAACTGCACTCTTATACGTTACAGTTGACAAAAATGTACACATTTTTAAATCATATTAAAATAATACACTACCCATCCACATAATAATAAATAATAATTCACACGAAGACATAATACAGAAAAAGGAAAATTTGTAAGAAAATATTTTGTTTGTTTAACCGCATTTGATTTTAATTTAATCGATTGGTAATTTAATTTTAAATATTAATCACACTTAGTTAAATGAGTGTTATTCGTATTTAATGTTACATTTTATGTTATATTAAATTTTAGATACTATACCCAAAAAGAATAAAAGGAAGCTGACGGTAAATAATGTGCTGTGTGAATGCGAAAATAACAATAACAAATCACTAAAAACAATGTCAATCTGTGTTGCGTAATACTGTTGGAGTCACCTATCTTTTACACCTAAAATTGTTAAAAGTCGAAGACATTACTTTCAAAAGTCGTATTTTCCCAGCGCAGTTTATCTTGATTTAGGAAACTATAAAGTGGTAGACCAGATTTCTTGTGTTGAATTCGTAGAAAATTGCTTCAAGAGCTCGTCGGTAGTACAAATATAGGGATATATAATAATATATTAGTAGAGCAAAATGGGGATCAGACGACACTTACATTAGGCCTAAAAAAAAAACTTTCGCAGTTCGTTTAAAAAGTTTGTTATTTTCCGGTCGGATCGAATGGTTGGTGCCATCGGAGATTTAAAAGAAGACGAATCGTTTTAGCTTCACATTGACTACTAAACCATATTACACCGCACACAAGAAAAATGGAGTCACGATACTTAAGATTTAAGATGAACCATAATATAAACGAAAGAATAATAAACATATAAGATAACCCCGCAAGTATAAAAAATAAGTAATAACGAAATAAATAATAATAATAATAATAATAATACGGGGAAAATATAATACAAAATTGGAGTTTCCGCCGGAACTGGCTGATTTGCAATTAGGAACGTGAAAGGAAATAATGTTATGCACGGCACAGGCCCAAGGCGATATGACTAGATGTAACATTCGTCGACAGTCGTGACGGAGATGGAAATCTTTTCCACCCGATTTGTTCCAACTTGAAATTATCAAATATCCGATTTGTACTGAGGTTTGCGGCTACACGCAGCCTCCGTAGTATAAGGGTAGAAATAATAATAATAATAATAATGCAGGTAAAAAAAAAAAATCTTAAACATATATTTATTGTCTCGTCCCATCTAGCGCAGAGTCATGAAAGGTTTTACAGGAATCCAATATAAAATGTGCTCACTATATAAACGAATACACAGATATATAAAAATTTGAAATACGTATAATKGTGGTATGTAATATAATATTAATCCAATCGTGAGTTAATCGATTATTATGAAGAAAAAAACAGCGTCTATTTTTAACATACTTAAGTACAAAAGTAGATTATAGAAAAAATATTTGGAAAGACGTATCGTAGCACTAATTACAGCGCGTGCATGTGCTGAATTATTATTCATATAATGGTCTGAGAAAYTCTAATTGATTTTATAGCCGAGAAGTTCATGTATTGTAGTCACAGTTTTCATTATCATGCGGTTAGTTGGCGTTTGAACCGCCTAACTTATCAACACAAAATAATTAATAACCCTCCACGACAAACATATTTTTAAATGCCTAACATAATGTTTTAAACTAGGAAACAATAAAAAAAAAAACGTGCTAATACGTATATAGAACTATGTGCTTCATTAGAATTTATAATTACATATGCAAGTATAATTTACATTAAATCGATAAATTATAACTTCTTTCCCTTCTACTTTTCACATTAAAATATTAAAGGTGTTGATTTATATATTATATATACATGTATAAAGAATAACATAAGTATTTTAATAAAATAAAACAATAAATTCATCATACATATTAAAAAAATTTTATTTTCAAAGTTCATATATATATTACATAAGAAAGCCAGGTATATTGGTCCCTTAATTTAATGTTAGGGTGAGCGTTAATTCGAGTAAATGTTGGTAGGTATATAATCCTGATTTATGAATTCTAGAAAAACTTTGTTTTGCCTCCAAACAACTTAAAGCAAATAAAAAGTGTTTTAAAAATAACATCTAAGCAAAATAAGACAATTTTTAWTATTTTCATTTTCGTTCTTATTTTTTTCAGCTAGGTATTTATGTTTTATTCGATAAATGCTAAATACCTGTACAAAAAAGATTTAAATATTGACAGTTAAATATTCAAGCAAACGTCAAATTCATTTAATAATGACAATGAATTCTAATATCATTAATTAGTATACATTATACGTCATGATTGTATAGTTCAAGTTAAATTGAATATAAACATGAGATATACACGAAGTTTTCGATTTCATGTTCACTGAAGTTTGTAAGTGTTGTAACTGTTGTAAGTGCGTAATACACAATTTGTATTGAAATGCAAATAATATAACCAACGGCCAATAATCACGTAGTTGAAGCCTTGAATAATAATTTTAGTAAAAATATACACAATTTAATAAATAATTAATTAATTAAACATAAGTAAACGCTATTTTTATGATAATACTTAGGTACCAGATATCACTATAAATTACTAATTAATTCAATTTATACTTAGGTAACCGTAACAAAAGTAATATTTATTTATATTTGTTATTGCTATTAATCTAGGTATTATTTTTATGACTCTTTTACTATATAGTATTGTGTAATTACTGTATTTAAATAAAACTTTGTTATAATTGACGTGGTATTAATTTAAAAATGAAAATGACGATTCACATAAATTTATATATTTTTACCTACAGAAATTATGTAAATATGCAGCACTATATTGAATATTCAGAATTATAGTGAGAGTGGTTTTTATTACAGCTCTAATATTTACAATTCATTTTTACGCAGAACAATAATTTTTCGAGCACAATGGTTTTATAAGAGCTTTTAAAAAGTTTCACGCTGAAAAAAACCGTTGCACTTTTATATTGGTTAAAAATATTTTGAATACTTCAACGCCTTAATATAGGTATTTAAGTATTTTAGTTGATAGTTATTCGTAAACACTAGACAGTAGACATAAATAATTGTACATAACTATTACAAATTTTCAATTTGCAAAATTTTTTTTTAATATATTTAAAAATGAATAATGAACAAATATAATATTTAGGTATTATCAGTTTTCAGTTTTGTTAATCAACTTAATCAAGGCAGTCGATTCACCGCATTTTCTTCGAGTACAATTTGCAGTTTTATTTTTAGTAGATATTTTGGTAATAATAGAATTATCATCAGACGTAGACTACATTAATAATATTTAATTAATTAAAACCAAAATTTTACCTCTGGCAAACTAAAAATTAAAATGTTCACCAATGTCTGTCACAAATCTCATACTATTTTTTGTTTGTAAATATGTATTTAATATACTGTTAAATGTACTTAAATTATTAATTTTACACATTATTATTGTTTAAAATCTATTACGATGTGGAATAATTATATAATTATTCATTTTTGGTAAATTATATATGATTCAAAGATCATGAAATAAATAAGAAGTACCTAGGTATACGTGAAAAAAGTTCGAGAATATTTTTTTTAAGCAAATCTAAAAAAAWTTAAAGAGTATTATATATCGWTTAAGACATTTAAAGTTTAATAATGTAATGTGATATTGCATCATGCAGTGAAATCGCTTAAAATATATAAGCTCTRCAAAGTCGTTTTTAATCCACGATTATCTTCACAGTTTCTGARTTAAATAAAAATAGAAATCACRACCACCCTATAGTAGTTATATAGTACTGGGCCACCCAACGTGAATTTTACYATCGTATTTATTACTCGTAATACGAAATATAATAAATAATATGTGTAGGTAATTCACCAGTGATTATAAATGAATWAAATATGAATATAGTTTGATATACTGTCGCTGTACTTCATATACACATATTATTATAGTAAGATCTGTGTATCAATTTCGACCATCAAAATATTATAATAAATTATAATTGTATTGATGAAAGTTTCACTCATGAGTGAGTAATTTTTTTGAATCTTCGTGTAAAAATGTGAAAAATAAGAAAAAAAAATATTATGCTTATCTTACAAAACAAACAATGTATCTAGGTTTGTAATATAAATCGTTCTGCAATATGAGAATTTAATATGAAAAAAGTGTCATAAGTATATGTATCTAGTAACSTGAGTTGTAATAACAATTATTACGCTACAATCGAGAAAGCTCCGAAAAGCGTATTTGTCACCGAGCTCAAACATAATAATAATATATAAGACATAAGCCATTTAAAAACATATTTCTGACAGCGAATTCCAGATGAGTACAACAACTACTTTTGCT